GGCCCCCTCCGGCACCCGCCAGCGCTGCCCAGGGCTCCGGCTGCTCTGCCCCGGGGCGCTGGAGACTCCTGGCTTTCCAGAATCATTATTAACCTGTTCGAGAGCTGTTCCCGCTCGCAGCTAAAATAGATCTTTAATCTCTGCCCAAAATAGCTCATTTGATGAGAGGCCTCCTTAAAGCTGACACATAAATTTAACCAGGCTGCCCGAGCCCTGCGCGAGGACGTCTGCAAACGCTCAACATCACTCGCATTGTTTTTTTTAATTCCGTCGTTACGGGCACATCTTTTCTCCTTTCACGTTATTTCTTCCAGTGGGTCATTCGTACCAATTGAGAGGCAGTTTGCTTGCGTGCTCCGCTCCGGGCTGTGGCCGCCGTGCCACCCTCCCAGTCTCCCTGTCCCCACTCAGGAGAAAAAGGATATTTTGGGGTTGGTTTTTTGGTTTTTTTTTTTTAATGTTGATGTTCTTAACGGTCCAAGGTTCCTCCTTGGAGCCACCCCAGGAGGAGAAACCTCAGTGCTGGGTGGGATGGGATGGGAGAGACCTTTCCTTGTTGCTACCTTAGGATACTGGCAGCGAGGGGATGCTCTGTCCGGCCGCCTGCACCGGTGCTGCTCCTTCCCTGGCGCTGTGCCGTGGCCGGTGCGCTCCATGCTGTCCTGGTGGTGTGGGAGCCCTGGAAAGGCACCGTCCTGTGGCAGTGGGGCACCAAAATGTCTCCTCCATGAGCAAAGGTGGGCTCTGGGGCAGCTGGAGATGGGGATGCTCGCTGTGTCGGAGCTGCAGCTGCCCCCCCTGGGTTGGGGCTGAGACGGGGCACAGGCAGTGCCTGTCCCCATGTGTCTCCTGGTGTCCCTGCGCTGGAGGGGACCGTCCCCTCCCCGTGTAGGGTGTGCTCGGGAGAGGCTGGTGCATGTGCATCCCCGGTGGGATGTGTACCTGCATCCCCGGTGGGGTGTGCACCCACGTCCCCCCTGAGGTGTGCGTCCTCTGCTCCGTGGGGTTCTCCTTGCAGGCTCCGTCTCCCAGGGTGGGGGATGATGGAGAAGTCGGAGGGTGAGGGACCCCCCCGGCATGGGTTCAGCCGCCCGGGTCAAACCCTCAAGCTGAGGGCGCAGCTCTGCCCGGTGCCAGCCTGCCCCTGCGCTCACGGGGGCACCTCCACGGCTCCGCGGGGGGAAGATGCTCA